GCACAATATATTGATGTTAGAAATCAATAAGAAGATTACTAAAAAAATATGCTGTTTGAAAAGTTTTGAAAAATCCATAGTAAATTACTCATGGGTCAATAATAAACCAAAATGGAACTTTAAAAGAATGATACAATTAATATATATGATAACTTGTGGGACACAGCTAAAGCAATGTTGGATGTAGATTTATTATCTTAAATACTTTGTTAGAAAAAAACAAGAGATGTAAGATTCATCAGCTAAACTTCATACCTAAAATATTGGGAAAATAACTACTTAATAAATCCAAAGCAAGTATAAAAATAAAGATGAGTAGAAATTAATGAAGTAGAGAACCAACACATAAAAGAGTATCAAGCCAAAACTTATTTTTTAAAGAGGATTTATAAAATAGAGAAACTTCTAGCATCTAAGTAAGAGGGCACAAGTAAGTACTGTTAGAGATGGATGAGGGCACATATCTTTAGATGTGAGTGAAAGAAGTAGAGAGTCCTTCTGAACAAGTTATGCCACTTAACTGGAAAGTTTGGACAACATGGCTGAATTTTTAGAAAAAAAAATGACTTAGGACAAAGAAGGAAAAGCAAATAAAATCTCTATAAAAACAAAGAAATTTAATTAATAATAATAATTCTACAAAGAAAGCACCAGGTTAGATGAGTTTATAGATTAGTTTTACAGAACATTCTAGAAACTGGAACTGATATTTGTAGCATGTAACAAAAAGTATCTGGTATTAAGAAAAAAAGTTCATCACCTTGGTATGCAAGAGACCGAAACTGATAGAAAATGGACAAAAAACACAAATGCAGGAAAATAAACACATGTGATTCATAAATGTATGAAAGATATTTACCCCTATTAAGAATTAGGGAAGTGGAAATTAATATCCAATGATGTACCAATTCATACTCACCATTTTGACAAACAGTAGCAAATTGTACAATATCATGTGCAGGCAATGATGCAGAGCAATAGGAACTCTCTTCACCACACATGGTTATAAATTGATACAATCACTTTGGAAATGTGGTATTACCTAGGAAACTTGAACATATTCATACTCTCCTATCAGGGAATTCTACTCTAGGTAGGTACCCTAGAGAAATTCTTATACAAGTGCACCAAGATGCATACACAAGAAAAATGTACATGGAAGCTCTGTTTATAATAGCAATCAAACAGAAACATTCAAATGGTAATCAGCAATAAATAAATGGTGATGTAGTCATACAATGCAATTGTGTGCAGCTGTGACAATGAATACACTAGAGCAGCACCCATCACCATGAATAGATCACAGAATCTTACTTAGTGTTTTAACCAGTGGGTTTTAAATGTTGGCGAGCATTGGGCTTAGCTGGAGAGCTAATGGAGGACACAGGGGCTTTGCTTGTTGAAGTGGGACAGGGCTGGACCTCTGCAGTTTTATCAGTTCTCAGGTGATCCTGACACACAGCAGAGCCACTGAGTGAAAACAGCTGCAGGGGGCATGCAGACTGTCTAGCTTACACAAAGCGAAACAAAACATACAAATTACACATTATTCGGGTTACATACTTAGTCGTAGCATGACAAAGGCAGGCTCTCGGTGAGGACAAAGGGTAAGCATTTGGGGAGGTGGCATCTAACTAGGGTGCAGGTTATATTTTATTTCTTAGCTGTATAGAAGGCACACTGAAGTCATTTTATTACTCATACTTAATGTATGTAATATTTGTGAGTTAAATATATTGTACAATATAAACATAAAAAATAATAAAATAGAAAGATTTGTTTTGAGCCTATGCACTCCAGTGAGCATCTGGGTTGACATGTACTGTTGTCTGGTCAGCTGCCTTGCTGACCTCAGTGAGGTCGGTGGATGTCACACAGCGTACGCTCATTGTCTTGCTGCTTCTGCTCATCCACAGTGCTACCTGGAAGGAATATTTAACTGGGACAAAGGGCAAGTTCGTTTTCCAAGTGGGTGTGTAAATTGGCTGCTTGGATTGCCCTCTGCACCTTTAGAAACTCAGAGGCTGGGCCCCCTCGTGGTTCAGGGGCTGACCAGGTATACAGCCTGGAGGCAATGCCTGACAGGAGAGCGGGACGTGAGCAGACCCCTGCCTGCACCCCTGTGGTAGTGAAGGGACCCAGTGGGATCAACAGGACAGGAGAGGGCGTGGCATGGAGCTGCTGGGACTGACTGATTACACTGGTTTGGAATTCTCCAAAGGGGAGCACACACCCATGGGAGAAGAGGTGACCCTTTACATGGTCCCCCAGGGGATCCAGGGGACTTGCTTCTGTGGATTCTTAGATTTTGATTGCAGCTATCTCTGTCCTGAACACTAAGTGAAGGCCCGGAATCTTAGGGAGGCAGGTGGGTAGCAGTGCATTGGCCAACAGAGTATGTGCTTTGACCCAGAGCAAGTAGATAAGAGCTGGGCCATGGGAGACAGTAAGGTTTCCAGGGATCCAGCAGAGCCTCACTGCAAGAAGGCATGTGGCAGCTAAAGAGTAGGGAGAGCTGCGCCAAGCTCTCAAGGAGCCCTGGGTAGGCAGAAAGAAAAAGGAACAGTTTGGAGACCAGGGCAGCAGAGGTGAGGGCCTGAGCCCCCTGGTTACGTCACGGCTGACCCTGGCTCACTCACCTCAGGTGCTGCCGCAGATTGCCAGGGAAGGTGATGGTTACACTTACAGAAAGGTACTGTGTGCCCTGTAAGTCAGGCTGGCTACACATTTCCAGGGTCCCGTTTGGGATATAGTGGGGAGTGCTCAGTTCCGCTGACTCTCCCTCTAGGAAGCTGAAGACTCAGAGGTTTAATAAAAGAGCTTCTATGGTGGCCTCTGCCATCAAGAGTAAGTGAGAAAAGCAAAGTTACGTGACATCCATTTCCTCCCCAAGGTGTGCTGGCTCTGATTAACCCCTATGTGTAATTCAAATTGTGTTTTCATGACCTCATGTATTTTTCCTAGATAAAATAAAATTTCCTCCCGAAGCCCTCTTCTCCAAGTAAAGCTAACTACTCATTGCCTTTACTCATTGTCCTACTTACTGGGAGATCAGAGTGGGTGATTTTTCTTACCCCGCTATCCTATGCTCAGGCCTGGGCCTGCCTTAGCACAGCAGCTAGGAACAGAGCAGAGCACGAGGCCCGAGCTGGGTTCTGGGCCCATCTCACCTATTTTCCCACCTTTGGTTGTCAGTCGGTCCCCACCCAACAAGATTATCTCCCCTTAAACAGACTTTAGTCTGAAATACAAAGGTCAGTGATTTAAACCCAGATTCAATATGTAATAGCACTTTAATTCTTTCGTGATTACTTCAGTTCAGCACACTTGGTAACTATTGATCATTCCAAAAGGATGCAACTCTTTCTTGCTTTCTCCCAGATCTAGCAGGTGGTCTCAACTGACCATCTTCGAACTCACATCAAATTCCTTTAAGACAGCTCCTGAAATACAATGTGTACCCTTTTGCCCTTAAACTTGTTCTCATTTAACTGACTATAAAACACATGATCACTAATTTCTAACCTCATCGGCTCTATTTATACCATCTCAAAGCTAGAATGTATCATTTGCAAGAAGGAATATTGAAGACCTATTTGAAAAAATCGTTATTCCCAGTTAAAATCTTGACTTGCAACCAACCACCAATTTGGTCACTTTTTAGAGACGGTCAGTGAAGCAAAGCTTTTCTTCATCTGACTCTCCTACAGCTGGGTTCATGAGAGCTTCCATTTTCTGTAGTTCTTGTGTTGTTCCCAGCCATAGAGCAGTTTGGTGCCTCTGGAACCCTTTCTCCGTACAGCTGCCAGAACTTTTTAAAAATGTAAATGTGACTGTGGCTTGTTGGTGTCTAAAACCTTTCCAAGGCTCCTCATCTTCCCTAGTTTGGGTGTTTTAGCTGGTTTACTGACCCTCCACCCCACCCCCACTCTGCCTCTGGCCCAGGACACAGCTCTAGGTCTGCCATTGGCCACTGCTCCACTCTGCCCCTCCCCAGGTCAGGAGCCTGTGGTGTTTCACAGTCCTGCTGCCTCTACCCAGAGCAGGGTGCCCACAGTCTGCTCCTCCACCTTCGGCAGCCCCACCACTAACCCAGCTCGGCACTGCCCCGCCCCCACAAGCAAGCACTTTGCTTAACAAGTTCATCCTTCAGGTTCAGCTTCTGTGCTAATTCCTCAAAGAAGCCTCGTCCTGCAAAGAGCTCCCTGTGGCTGACTCCCTGTGCTATTTCTATGCTGGAGAGTGCTCATTTTAAATGGGGTAATAATAGGATCTACCTCATAGAATTCCTACAGCTGGTGTGAGCACCAAATGAGATAATGTATATAAAGAGCTTAGCACACACTCTAACATGGAAAGCACAATGGGTTTCCTTTGCCTCTATATTTTCTTGTTACATCATCAGCATATTTCATCCTGGGATGACCTTGAGCTTCACTGGCTGGGATTAGGCCTGACTCACGGCTGTATCCCCAGTGCTTAGCACAGAACAAACCACAGAGGAGATGTTGGGTAGATTTTGTGCCATGAATGAATGAATGGATATATTTTCAAAATCTGTGTGCAAATCTTTTTAAAACATGAATCTAATTAGTAAAGAATTAGAGGAAATTCATTGTATTTTGGTCAATTATGTCAGAGTAAACCAGTTTTCCTTGCCTAAATCAGATCAATGACTCCCAGCAGAAAATTTAGCCTTTACTTCCAGCTAATGTCTGCCATGTCTTCTGACAGCTTTGGTTCTTAAGAGCTTGATCACGTGGCAGCCAATGCATTGGGGGTCAGCTGCAGACATCATTTTCTGGCCTCAGGGAAGATGTTGAATAATCCTGTTTGCATTTTAGAGTTAGCAAGTAATATTTGTAAACAAGCAGCTAATGAACTGTGTGACCTGGGCCCAATCCCTTTGGTATCCGCTATTCAGGCTGTCGGCTCCTGATAGGCCTTTTGCAGAGAAAGCTCATGAGTCAATTGTAAACATGGTCTGATTATCTTCTCAGGAAATTAGTGACCCCGAGATCCTGGACCTGGTCCACAGTGCCCTGGGCAGGATGACCGTGGTCCGACAGATCTTCCCATCTGCAAAGGACAACCAGAAATGCATGAGGAACAACCACCGCATTTCCTCCCTGCTCTGCGACCCCCAGGAAGGCTACCTCCAGATGCTACAGGTCAGTGTCCACCCCCAGCTCCCTCCGTCAGGGAGTCTCACCCATGCTCGTGGCCTGCCTACTACTTTAATCACTGGAACTCTTGTCATTTGCTGACATTGGAACCAGTCAACAGGGTAGTGCCTCTGAACAGCATTAGGAGGCAATTATGGCCATTGTCAGCAGACAGGTCATGTTAGCTCACTTATATTTCAGTTACATGCTTAGGGAGTAAGGAGATTTCTGTCTCAGGCTTCTGTGATGACTGTTTTGTTGGGGTTGGATTCACCTGGCAGGACTGGGGATGCAGACCCTTGTGGGGGGTCATCATTTAAACTTGTTTTAGGTTCTTCCCTGTAAGAAGTCAGTAGTATGGACACGGCTGTTAGGAAACAACTAGGGACTGTCCCTGTTCCTCTGCTGAATCCTGAGGCTTAGGTCAGCCAGGGTACTGCTGGGGCCCCAGCTGAGCAGGGATAGGCAGGAGGGCAGGACCATCACTTGCTTCCAAGCAATTTCATTGCCTCCAAGATGAGAGGCACAGAGTGTTTGTGGTCAGCCCTCCCACCACTCCCTCTGCAGAGCTGCAGCCTGAAAGTAGGATGTAGAGCTGTGCACCTGTTTTGAGAGGTGGTTTTCTCTTGGATGTTTGGGGGTAACAGTGAAGCACTGTGGAAACTGTCCATTGGCAGCCTAGAATCTGCTTCTCCATTAAGAATATCATGCATGAGAAAACTTTCTTTTGATACTTAGTGGGAGCCACGTAACCAGGAAATTTCTCCCAGCTGGGTTTGGCTCAGAAGTTTGGGCATATGACATGCTTGCCATTCCGCATTTGAACCTAGCTATGCCTTTATACCCAGACAGGTATGAGGAGTGGAAATCAGGTTTTCAGGACAGAGATAGTCTGTATCTGCCACCTGATACACCCCTGATTTTTTGCTGGAGTAATTTCCCCTTTCATGTCCACTGCTCCAGGGAGCCATGAAAATGTCTGGGTCTTTCTAAGGTGGTGAAGGGTTGGCCAAGAGAGTGGACGAAAGGCCTCTGCAGGACCCATGGACTTGAGAACCCTGAGCATATGGGCAAGGAAGAGAGGCAGGTGCTAGATGCAAGATTTTATATTTTTGGATGCTGCTGGCCTGCTCTGCATTCCTCTGTTCTGGAGTTTGGAAGAAGAGGCGAGGGCCAAGTATGACCCTCTCAGTGTTACTCTGCATTTATTACCCCCACTCTCCATGTAGAAAGAAGTAGAGTGAGATGATGTGGCTCAGGCAGCACAAGCCCATCCTCACATCCCCGCCTAGGGCAAGAGGCAGAGGGGACCCCTCACTCTCTGTGGAGCTGGACCCTGCGTGGGGCTCTCCAGGCTCTCTCCTTTCAGGGCTTGGTCCTTCTCCAAACACACACCAGCCTTGCCCTTGCCCTGCCCTGTCTCTGCTCCCGCCCCCATATGCCCAGTTCTTGCCTAGTCATACTGCACTCCGTGTACTTGAGCAAGCTGGGGGCTACTTGCCTTTACACAAACGTGCCCAGCACAAGTTGGATGAGGGGAGGGGAGAGCACTTCTCATTGAGGCTCTGATTACTCACCGCGTATGGATTAAAAGGTGCAGGTAGACTCACTGGTGGCACAGCACACACACTGGATGCAAAAGATCTGACCCAGAGGGCAGGGAGATTGATGGGACTGATGGGGAACCCAGTGTAGGCTATGCTAAAATGGTACACACCCAATTTGAGTATAAGTAAAGGCACACTTGAAGGTGTGTGGCTTGTCATCATCAAATGTGGTAAATGCCTTCCTACCTCTCTCTGTTTCTGCTGAGTCCCAGGCACTACATAAAGAGTAAGAGTGGCATCACAGAGATATTGTGGTGGTGGTGGTGGTAGTGGTGGTAGTTGCACTAGTGGTAATAGTAATAGCAACAACAGTAGCAGCATCAATAGTAGCAGTAACAGCTGTAGCAACTGTAGCAGCAGTGGTAGTAGAAGCAGCAATAGTAATAGTGGTAGCAGTATTAGTAGGAGCAGTAGTAATAGTAGTAGTAGAATAGTAGCATAAGTAGTAGTAACAGCAGCATCAGTAGCAGTAGCAACAGCAGCAGCTCTAGTAGCAGCAGCAGCAGTAGTAACAGTAGTAGCAACAATAGTGACAGTATTACTACTACTAGTAGCAGCAGCAGCACTACTAGTAGTGATAGCAGTGATAGTAGTAGCAATAGTAGTAGTGGTAGTAGTATTAGTAGTACCAGTAGTAATAGTATTAGTAGAGCAGTAGCATAAGTAGTAGTAACAGCAGCAGCAGAGCAGGAGCCAGATTGCTTGGGTTCAAGTTCCAGCAACTTTAGCACTAATTATTTATTTATTTTATTATTATTATTTATTTGTCATTGTGTGCCTCAGTTTCCTCCTCTGTAAACTTGGAATTAGAGTAAAAATGAAAGAGGTCCGTACCTCTTAGAGTCATAATGAAATTAAATGAGAGAACATATAGAGAGCATTTAGAACAAGACTGGGTTATTAATGGCATCATTATGGAGGAGGTGGCCGGGTGTGCTACAGGGTTTCCATGGAAAGGCTGAATATGGCCTCATTTTTCTGTTTTTGTATAATATTATGCACCTATCTTCCTGAGCATGCTCTTTAAAGACATCATAGCAGGTAGGAGAGCATTTCCCATCTGTCCAGCCCCAAATCACAGGCGTCGTGCACCGCTTACTGTCTACATCATCACACAGGCTTAATCCGAGCTGCCTTGCGTGGCAGAGGACAGGCCCTGCCTTTAAGACCCATTGAGCTCTTCATATAAGAACCTGCTCACTGGAGACCCTCAGTAAGGACTGATAGGTGGATCTGTTAAGAAGGCAGGTCTTAACACAAGTTAAACTGTCTCTAGAAGCCTCTTATAGATCTGTAAATAAAATACTTTATTAAAGGAATCTCTGCCTCCATTTGTTGCATCTGCTTCCTTGTGTGGGGAAAATGTAGATTTATTTACTCATCCTGCCCAACAACCATTTGGGCAGCTTGTAGATTCATCTCATTTATAAGCTGTTCCCTTCAAGTTTCCTCAGCAGCTATTACCACTTCTTCCTTTCTTAACGACAGTGTAGAAGACAAAATAATTTCTACTAGCCTCTAGCTGTGAGATTTACCGAGGAGACTCTAACATGTTGAGAACAACCAACTTAAGAAAAAAAAATTATGTCATGGATTATTAACTTTGTCTTGATGACATTAATGAAAAACCTTCTGAAAATGTACTTCTCAAGTCCATCTTTAGTTTCTCTCCCAGGCAGATGCTATTGGGATGATAATTCTGGGTTAGAAGTTTTCATGAGGACTGTCAAGAACAGGGAATTTTTACAAGATCATCCATCTTTGGCTTCTCCATGGAGCTGGCCTCAGAAACGCCATCTTCTTCTATTAGGTCTGTGGTCAAGGCTTTCTGTGTTGTAAAGCCAACCGAGCATTATTGAAATAAATCAATTTGGTTCCTATTTAGTAGAAGGTCCCTTTGAAGAAAAATACGTAAATAAGTGTCTTCTAGTGGTTCCAAAGGTATTGCATTGGCCAGTGTGTAGTGCTGTTGTTTAGTTCTCCCTACCAAGCACTGTCTTATTTGGGTGTTTCCATTCTTGTTTTCTTGACCAGCTGGTTTAGGGATTGTCTGACTCAGCCAGTAATAAAAGTGATAACCAGTTCCACAGAACCGTGAGACTTAGCTAAGATTTCACAGACAGCCGTGCTCAAAAGAGAATCTGTAATGTACTCAGTCGGTCTTCAGAACTGTGTTGCCTGGCGACTTCCGGGCTGCAATTGAAGTAACAGACATGTTGTCACATCGCTACCCCATTTATATTCAAATGTGTTTCCAAAAGGGGACAGACAAATGATATAAGCTGTGTTGTCTGGTCACTGTGGAGCCTGATCCTTGAATTAAGCTGTGGGGGCTGATGTGGTATTATGATAAAATGCTCCCTCAGGTTGGAATTTCTCTTCTTTGTGCATTTTAAAATTGTTGAGTGACTCGATAGATGGAATCACTTCTCCTCCACTCAATCTATTAAAGCAGTTCAAAATTCCCCTTCCCACACATGTCCTATTTCTTTAAGGCTTTCTGTATTCTTCCCTGGCTACAAGTTGGTTTTTGTTTTGTTTTGTTTTCCTTTTTTTTGGTCAACCTGCTAGTAAAATCCTTCCCTCCGGAACAACCCTGAGCCTTTTCCACCAGAGCTACCAGGGACTTCATGTCACTTTCACTGTTTTACTTCATGCTAAAGGCCCAGATGGAACATTTAACAACCAGAATGGGGAAGTGTGATCATTGACACGTTGTCAGAGACAGTTGCACAGGTGGCTTCCCTGGGTGCACCTGGTTGCTGTTCTGGCTGCAGGCGGCCCCATGTGCGTTTGAAGGTAGAGATCCTCTGGTACAGACAAATGCCCCTCCCATGCTGTACACCCTTCCCTTGGGTTCAGCTGTGAGCAGAGCTCCCATCCCCTTTAGCCTCTGCCACCATCTGCTCCCTCCTCAGGCCCAGCCGTGATGCCCTCTCTCTGGACAGGTGGGCTGGCAGCAGTTTGGCAGAGAGGCCTTGCCTGGGCATGGATTTCTCAAGCTGTGACATCTGGGCATCAGCTTGTCCTCCCAGCTGGACCCAGTGCTGGCTGCTTGTCTGACTTTGCTGGATGACCAGAGCCTGTCTGAGGATCTGGTCAGAGGTCAGTCCCTGCTGTTTGCCTCTGTGAGGTCTCCCCGAATAGTCCACTTGGCATGATTAATGACAGAAGGAAGAGAAAAACTGGGCTCTTCAGAAGCCTAGAGGAAATGCAGGCTTTCTTAGTGAAAACATTTCCCCTTGATTCCAGCTTTGGTGTGAGGTGGATAATGGTCTGGTGGCAAGATGCAGATGGCCCGTGTGGCTGGGACCCGGGCTGCCATTCATCTTCATTTGCCTTTGGAGATGATTCTCCCTTGACAATGTGGACGAACAATTCCCTGGGCCCCTGGAGTAT